AGTGCTATGATATGACTCCCCTTTAGCAGAACCTAATCAACATAATCTTGCAATTTTCAAATGCATGAGTTTTGTCAAAAGGGAAACTCCATCCCAAGACCCTATAATATTTCAAGCTATCAAAATATTCTGGAACCTCACAAACTTCTAACTCGAAGATCAGATCGGGAGCCGTATTCATTCGTCACTTCGAATTGATTCAATCTACTTGGTACTCAGCAAACTTTTGATTACAACTTGTTATGTTACTGATTTGTCTAAGACTACAAAATTAGCGAACAAGACAGGACCACATACTTGAGCTCAACTTGACTCATTCGACTCTGATTAAGCATAATCAAATCTCTGGTGCCATCGTGTCGTTGCATGTCACTGATATGCAGATTCCTTTCAATTAATTCGCGTACCGTAGTAACATATACAGAGGAGATGTAAAGAATATAATTGCCGCCACCAATGAGGATCATTGAACCTAAATGAAGAATGATCAGCATACTTCTCGGCGCAGATATGACTGCGTAAGTTTTCTTCATAAGATTCACCTTTGAGTAAAATTGGTTTCATTTCCTCATCTTTCTGGTGAACTATATCCCCAATACCTCTCATTTTGAAAACAAATAAACTATTTTTGAATGCTAGAATCGACTCGTAGGACAGAGGCACCTAGAAATGATACTGAAGTGACGATCCCCAAAGTGATGGAACTAGCAGTAAAGAATGGCAAACCTCAGGATGTACCAGCTCCAAAATATCCGAAACTCTTGTCTCTTGACGTATCGCCATTGGATATGCATTCCGAATGTAGTGTCCGAAGTGTTCAACAAACAGGTCTTTATCGAAACAGATATGGTAGGGAAAAGCGATGGAGAAGTCGTCTGAACTAATGTCGAATACACCCTGAATAGTCAAATTATGCACAATAAATTCAGCAATTCTTTTTCATTTTTTGACAATGAGACAGTTTAACGGTCCTACTCAGAAAACCTCTTACGTGTCGAAAAACTGTTCACCACAGGTTTAGCTTATGATGTCATAATCAATATTTGATGACCATACCGCATTGACACATTAGATTTTGTTAGCTAGTTCTAGTGACCACTGCTTATACACGCTGTGATGAATCGTAAATCTTCTTACTGACCACATTTGCATCGAACTGCTCCGGCTTACTTGAAATCGCCTTTGCTGGCTGACCATTTCCAGTTTCAACTTGGCTGATAACAAACACGACGTGCTCTGTCACGAAAGCGTCTATAACCAGAACTTGAGGAGAGATATACTATTGCTACACTGCAATCGTACCCAAGTGCTCCTGCTTTCTTTCCTGTACTTTCATTATGACTTCTGTTTCGTAGATCCGACGAGCCACCTCTCGAACCACTCCTGTGACATGCATTTTCACAACATTATCAAGAATTTTATAAAAGCGTTCAGTTGGACTTCGACCAATCAAACAGGTCTAGGAACTCAAGCCTTGTCTTGCAAGGGAACGATACTTAGTGTCCGCGGCCCTTCAAAAGAAATATTTACCATTATACTCGTCTTTGGACGCTGATTCCGAACCTGATTTCCGTTTC